CCCCCCTACACGGCGCCCCTGCAACCAGCTACAGGTGGTTAGCTGCTCTCTCTACCTTCTCCTTATAGCTCCAGTACCGCCCCGGGAAGCAGAATGGAGATGCTGACGCACTATCGCGACGTCCCCATGGCAACCTGCGTGATGACCCCTCATCTCAAAAAGAGTGGGACAGGATCCGCCAGTTCACACAACACCATCTATCAGATCCAGATAACATTGAGGCTGTGGATCAGGGGGTCATTCGTGCCATCTGTGAGAGACAACTTATTTATTGTGCCAATGATGGAATGGGCAGTGATGGAAGTATCTCCCTCGTCGAGAGCCTTGCCATCTCTGGAGATGCTGTACCTGGCAGCTTTGAGCAGGAAGATGAGCTTGGAGGGCTTCCCATGACATAAACATGTCATCTCCCAGATTGAGCGTGGCGAGAAACCACCGCCTGCTGTGAGAACTGAGCTTCCAGACCTACCTCTGTTGTTGAGAGAGTTGATCAGGCTTGAACTGCGGAACGGCATCCTCTATAGAACACGCCAAGAAGGCCACACACAGTACCAGCTAGTCTTACCTTGGGAACTTCGTGAAACGGTCTTAACGAGCCTGCATGACAACATGGGTCATATGGGAAAAGACCGCACGCTGGACAGAGCCAGATTACTGGCCGAGGATGGCCTCTGACATTGAGAAGAAAGTCAAGATGTGTAACAGGTGTGTGCTCAGGAAAACCTTACCTGAGAGGGCAGTACCTTTAGTGAACATCATGACAACACGACCACTTGAACTGGTCTACATGGACTTCTTGTCCATTGAACCGGACAGAAGTAACACAAAGGACATTCTCGTGATCACAGATCACTTCACAAAATACGCAGTGGCTATCCCAACACTAAACCAAAAGGCTCAAACGGTTGCAAAGTGCTTATGGGACAATTTTATCGTCCATTATGGTATTCCAGAGAAACTGCACAGCGACCAAGGTCCTGATTTTGAGTCGCAGCTAATCAAACAACTGTGTGAAGTTGCAGGCATACAGAAAATTCTAACAACTCCGTACCACCCAAGGGGCAACCCGGTGGAACGTTTTAACCGCACCGCAGGGAATTTCTAGAAAAACAATTCAATTCAATTCAGTTTTATTTGTATAGCGCCAATTCATAACAGAAGTTATCTCAGGACACTTTTCAAATAGAGCAGGTCTAGACTGAACTCTTTATAACATTATTTACAGAGACCCAACAGTACCACCATGAGCAAGCACTTGGCGACAAAGGCAAGGAAAAAATGCCCGTTAAAAGGCAGAAACCTAGGACAGATCCTTCAGCTCTAGGTGGGTGGTCGTCTGTCTCGACCACTTGGGGTGAGAGAGAGACAGAGAGACAGACAGACGCACAGCAACAACAGTATTGGTAATGGCAATCTAGCAGGACCATGGCAGGAGGCTCCACCAGGATCGATAACAACCTGCGAGACGAGAAAGCACAAGAACTCCGGGGAAGAAGTGAAGTTAGTAACATGCATTAGTGGAACATGAATGAGTGCAGAAAGAGAGAGGAAGAGAGGAGCTCAGTGCACCATGGAAAATCCCCCCGATAGTCTAGGCCTATAGCAGCATAACTAAGGGATGGTTCAGGACTCACCTGATCCAGCCTTAACTATAAGCTTTATCAAAGAGGAATGTCTTAAGCCTACTCTTGAATGTGGTGAGGGTGTCTGCCTCCCGAACCACAACTGGAAGCTGGTTCCACAGGAGAGGAGCTTGGTAACTGAAGGCTCTGGCTCCTGTTCTACTTTTAGAGACTATAGGAACCACAAGTAGCCCAGCATTCAGAGAACGTAGTGTTCTAGAGGGGTAATAGGGTACTATGAGCTCTTTAAGATATGAAGGGGCCTGACCATGAAGAGCTTTATAGGTGAGGAGGAGAATTTAAAATTCTATTCTACATTTTGCAGAGAAGCTAGTACAGGAGAGATGTGATCTCTTTTTCTAGTTCCTGTCAGTACTCGTGCTGCAGCGTTTTAAATTAATTGGAGTGTTTTAATGGACTTATTGGGGCAACCTGATAAAAGCACTCACTTTTCCTTTCCTCCGGTGGAGACGTTGCCAGAAAGCATCAAGGACTGGTTGAAAGCTGTGAGAGAGAGTTGAGCCGCATGTAAACTGCTTTTACTACTTCAGGTTCCGTAGCCGTACCTGGAGTTTTCTGATATTAGCCCAGCTTTAATTCATAGCTAATTAAATTAGTTATTAGTTACACTTCCTTGAGATCCGGGTTACATTAGCGTAAAGACAGAAAACAGAGAGAAACTGCTTTCGCTGACTTTGTCAAAAGTCCGATAATACACCTATCAACACCTCTAAACCACCAATTAATCTAAGAAAAAGCCAAGTTTTCCCTTTACTTCCTGTCTTTACCAGTTTCCCACAGAATCAACTTAAAATTATATTGCTTCTCCATAAGTCACTGACTGGTTTAGGTCCAAGATGTTTAGAGATCTCTAGTACGACCTATGAAGTTGGCCAGTTCTGGATTACTGGCTGTCAGACTCAGAACTAAGCGGAGAAGCTGCCTTTAGTTTCTGTGCTGTTCAAATGTGGAACAAACTGCAAGAGGAACTAAGACTTGAAACAATGCTGACTACTGTCAAATCCATGCTAAATACTTAGCTGTTTACCATTGCTTTTAATTCATCTTTAATTATTCACATTTGTTTGTTAGTTAGTTTTGTTGTTTTTATCATGTTCTTTTGCTTGCCTGCTTTTATTGTTTTGTTTATTTTGTCTGTGCTTTTTCTCATCAATTCTGTAAAGCACTTTGGGTCTCATGAAATTATCAAATTATAACAAATTTACTATATTGAGTTACAGGAATTGGCTTTTCCTCTACAATTAAAAGGTATTTCTCATTACCACTTACTTAATATTTCCACATTCTGTCAACACAACTTAACTTTAGTTTGCTCTAAATCAATAAATTAGAAGTTTTATCCTGCAACCAGTGAATTACTTTTTAGAGTCTGTAAAAACACGTTATATATTTAAGTTGCCAAACAATATTGAAGAAATTTCCATAAAAAAACATCCAGTTGGCATTAAATTCCCCAAAATGCACATGATTTTAGTCATTGCTTATAAAACCTTATAAAACAGTGAATGTTTATGTGGGGAGTGTGACCCACTGACAGGCATAAACTGAGTCCGTAAGATATTGCAGGATAGTTTGGACCAACAGTGCAGGTGTTGATGCAGTCTTGTCCTCGTGCCAGCCCTGATACAGCAACTTTCACCTCAGCTCATCAGCCATATAAATGGAAGACTACACTGCCAGCCAGCCCCAAGACTCCTCTTTTTTTCCCCTCCAAGCTGTATCTATGTCAGTAATTCTAGTCTCTGTGACAGGGGTTCTGTTTTGTGATCATAAGGGCATCTGTGGTGCATAATTTAGTGTGTGTGTGTGTGTGTGTGTGTGTGTGGATGATAGATGACGAGAGAGGAGGAGAGCTACTTCTGCAGCATTATGTATTAAAGAGGTTCTTGGCTGCGGAGCAATATCCACTTACTGGCACTGATGGTTTCACACTCACATCTGTCTCTCTCTCACTCACTTATTCTCACTGCCTTGTCTTTTCTTCACTTCTTTCTGTCATGTCTTGAAATAGGCACACTGTCAAAATTTTACAGTTCCGTTGTTTATGAATGATTGCAAAATAACTAGAAAATAAACCCTATATGAGTAAACAAATTGCTAAATAAAGTCTGATGAAGAGATGGGGCAGGTCTAGCTTTCTCTTCCTTGCTAGTTGTGCAGTTTTATGCAGACCAAACTTTTATAAATGGATAAAATGACGTCCCCCACAGGTTTGTGAAGTACCACTCAGTGTGGTCGGCTCTGGCCATCGCCATCTCGGCAGTTCTGACTTCACCAGACAATCCAAAAATGGGCATGGTGGAACTGGGGCGAGCTGAATGAAGCCTGGTTACTGAAAACTGAAGGCACCCAACTGTCACTGACAGCATCCATGTCCTTAATTCAGCCTTCTAGAGATTAACTGACTTTTGGAGGCTGTCTCTGGTGGCCGTTTGAGATACTGCAGTTTTTGTAACTTAACTTGTTGGCTTTATTTGGAGGTTGCTGCTTAGTGCAAACAAATCACAAATTAACTTAAGATTAAATGTGTGGTACTTTTAGCCCTTGTTTTCTGACTTTTTAAATAAAGCCTTTCACTTGATAAATTACATAGAACTATATAAATCAGCAATAGTTGATCTAAATCAGTTAGATGATCACACTATAATTGATTGGGGAGTTGCACTACAAGTGACCTTGTTTCACATTATACAGTCACGCACTAGTAACACTATGGACCAGGATTTTTACGAGTGTCCCCGTCCTCGATGATTGCACTGTAAGGATCGGTAGTAACAGTGGTATAAGATGCATGAAAGCGTAGCCTGTAGGTTACAAGTCAGATGGAATTACATAGCTGTGGCACATATTGGGACCCATTTCTGAAAGGATGACATCAAATTGAATCGTTTCTAAATGTGAATCTGTATACGTACTTATACAGCCACATTGCAATTATGTAAGAATATTTTCCATCACAGGCGAAAATGTAGCTTAATCAGATCTAGACACAATTACACATATTAATAGCAGAAAGTAGTAGGCCAAAACAACTTAAATTCTCTCTCTTATCCTTCACCTCACCTGCCAGTTTTAAAGAGACACATGGTTTGTTTTGTTTTATTCCTTACCTCTCCAACCATTCTGATGTTTTATCATCCTCATCCTGAGGCAGCCCTGGGGCTAAACAGCTAATGAATGTTCACACAATGCTCGAGCTCAAGCTAACACACCCAGAAACAACAACAAAACAGGGGAAGCTGTGTTTTGTAGCTTATCCCATCCCACCAGGCCTGAGGTAAGCGTTCAATCAAATTCCCATTACTAGTGCATTTCTTATCAAGGCAACATCCATTATACCAGGTGAGATATCTACCTGTGATGGGTATCTGCCGAGTACAGCGAGTGCACACTGGTTCACAAAAGATATTGCTGCCATTGATTAAAGCCACGTGGGACTGAGCTGGCAGGCGTGAGGAGTCACAGGTGAATTTTCAAAAGGGGTTTTATTCGCCCCAACATTTTGAAAACATACAACAAAGTTCTGGGAGCACAAAAGAGGTCAACTTAACAGAACTAAAGTCAGGTTGTGATAACTTCAAGGTCCAGTGTGCAAAATTTTGGAGGCTCTATTGACAGAAATGGAATATAATATTCATGGTAAATGGACCTGTACTTGTATAGCGCCTTTCTAGTCTTCCGACCAGTCAAAGCGCTTTTACACTACGTGCCACATTCACCCTTTCACACACATTCACACAGCGATGGCAAAGTCCATCGGACAGAAACATTCATACACATTCAAACACCAATGCACAGCATCGGGAGCAATTTGGGGTTCAGCATCTTGCTCAAGGATACTTCGACATGTGGCACCAGGAGCCGGGGATTGAACCTTCAACCTTCTGATTAAGGAACGACCCGCTCTGCCTCTGCCACAGCCGCCGCTCTGCCTCTGCCACAGCCGCCTCACGTATGTATTCATTCAGGTATGTTTTCATTAGTGTATCATTACCTGAAAATAAGAATCATTGTGTTTTTGTTACCTTAGAATGAGCTGTTTATATCTATAGAGGGAGTGGGTCCTCTTCTCTTCCTCTTCTTACATATTGAACGGCCATGTTTCAACAGTAGCCTAGAATGGACAAACCAAATACTGGCTTCAGATAAGGCCTTTTAGGATTTTTGCACCCACTGTAGTTGTAGTGTGAGAAGAGGGCGTTGCAATCAACTGTGGCGAAACGAGGGTGGGATGATTACTAAGTTATCAGACGATCTTTTCTATTTTATTTGTTACCGACAATGCCACCTTGGGTTAAGGCCCAAGGACCCGCACTAAAGGTCAATTATCACCTCTTACAAAATTCGTTCACTCAGGGAGGGCAGGAGAGTTCAATGATCACATACAAAATTTTATTGTGTAAATTAACACAAAGTTTGGCACAAACGAATAATAGGAGACTGGAGCCCAACTAGGGAAGGGAAGGGGTACCGGCTGAGGCTTACCGGCTGGAGGAGGGGTCGGCAGGGGAAAGTGACGTCCAAAAAAAAGGAGAGCACCCCACTCACACAGCAAAAACGTGACGTGCACACAAAGAAAATCTTGAACGAAGCTCACGCACACACAAGGGATCACCACCACCGTCAGCCTTCAGCTCTAGGAGAAGATAAGAGGCACAGTTAAGAGGACTCACTGTTAAAACAAACAATATCTCTTGACATAAACAAACTAATGAATAATCAAGGAACTGAAGAGTATTGATTTACATTAATCAGAAATCAATCAAACCAAAAAAAAAGAAAATTAAAGAGTCTCTGGCTACAGATATCAACTCAACAGTTAACCATAATTAACCCACTTTGAACTCAAATAAAGGAAGGCTCAAATTGAGAAGTTCCCATCCCAAATAGAAATTAAATAATTACAGTAAACTCCTAAAATAAACAAAATTACCCAAACAAAACAATAAGCAACCAAACTATTAAAAAGTTACTCAAAAAGAAATGATACCACTACTGAGAAAATAAATAAACATTTACACCACACATTGGCAGATTACCCTTAACACACACACACACACAGTCCAAACGAGTGGCTGAGAGTCCCAGCAGAACTCGCAATGGCCTACCCGAGCAGCAACCACACACACACCACACAATCCCACGCACAGCAGCAGCGGGAAACAGGGTCAGCAGCAGGAAGCAAACTGACCAGAGACAGCCGACAGGACTTCGAACCAAGCCAACAAAGCAACAGTAGCAACGAAGTAGTAGTGACAGCCGAAGTAGCAGCGGCGACTGTGAAGCAATAGCAACGAAGCAGCAGTAGCAACAAAGCATAAACTCCGGTCCCCAGTACGGTTCATTTGCGTCCCGTCCAAAGAGGGAGAGGGGTGAAGAGGGTCGGCGTAGCAGGGGAGACAGCCACCACGTATCATGCGACCAGCAGACTGTTAGAGGGAGAGGAGCGGAAAGGGGGCTCAACACCTGGCTAACAGCAATTAACAACAGAAGCTCACCATGACTCACCTATGCTCCGGTCGACGGCGGTAGACAACCCCAAATAAAATATCGCCTCGACCGCGATGGAGACATCGGATCTGTTAAAAGGAGTTACGGTTTGAGTTAAATGAAACGCTGACGAATGTACACCAACAGCACGCTAAGGTGCGCCTACCTGTGCTGAGGTGAGCGGCGCACGCAACAGCCCGGGAGTAGGCGGACCGAAAAGGCAAGAAGCGAGAGATCAGGAGGAGGGGCACGGCCTACTTTTATCCCCTCGACATGAACAATGATTGGCTAAGAAGCCATAGAGGGCGCGGTGAAGCAGAAGACCGTGTTCCACATGGCAGTGGTGCCTCATACCACTACACATATGTTTAGCGTTATTGCAGTACTGGTATTACTGAAGATATAAGGGCAGGTCCAGTGTAACATACTAGTATCATCTCCTATTGTATATTAAACAACACTGAGGCTCACTGCTAAATGTCTGTTATTGCACCGGGAACTTGTCACAACATCAGTTATAGTCAGTAAATGTCCTGTATGTGTGTATCTGCTGCCATTAGATAGACATTGTGTTGGTAACCTCAGACTGTTTCAACAACACATCACTACAGTTAGCTGCAACAAGGAACCCACCAGAGACACTGCTTTATTATTTTATTTTATAACTTAGGACTACTTTGAGCCACAATGAGCTGTTGTACTTGTATTATATTATACTGTATTATATTATACTGTATATTATATGCTGTCTTACAAGTAACACTGAATCTGCCATGTTTTACAGGTGACCTGATGAAGCTCAGGTGTTCCTGGACCCATCAGAGGACAGAGACAGCTGCAGCATCAGGACAGCCTGGGTATCCAAAGGAAGACACATCAAGATGAACACTGACTGCAGAGCTCCATTACCAGCTCACACTTCAGTATAGTAGAAACCTAAGATACCTTGATGAAGGACACGGTCTACGCAGTTTACATAAAAGTTATAGCTTTGTAACTTACAACATGTGTAACTGAAATATGAATGAAACATGAATAAAGTGTTTTACTTTTAAGAAGAGTTTTGGTCATTTTTAAATTCAGTAATAAGTGTGGTTTTATATAAATAACATGTTATTTCACAGAGGTTTTATGAAGATTTCCTGGATTTACAAGAGTTGAAAAGTGTCTATCAAAATGAAAATGTGAAATTTAAACCTGTATTAATGACTGTAAGCAACACAATACATTACTGTCTCACATTCAAACTTTATTATGTTGGAAGATAAAATTACATCATAATATATAAAATAAAACGTAAAACATAATTGCAGCTTTTACACATACCTGAAGGTTAACTTTGGTAATAATACTATCAAGTTAAACTATCAGACTATGAAATATGGATACAATACAGTTTACAGTTGGTTACTTAGCAGTTTTTAAACCACATAAACAAGTCACTTTATTAGATGAGTAATTCCTTCAGTTATGTTGACATGTACAGGATAAAGTATTCCCGGCATATAATATGTTTAACTTCAGTGGGCTGTGTAGACTGTAGGTCACTGCTCACTGCTGTACCTGTAAAGACAAGCATAAAACACAGTGTTGGTTTTCATAGTTAAGGTATAAACACTAACATTATGTGATAGATAGAGGTTTATATATATCAGTATTTACCTGAGGAAAACGTCACAGAAAGCTGTAATCCTGATTGTTGATGTTGTTCATTTCTCTGTGATTTCAGGTCAGACTCCCGCTCTAACATGTCTGGTGGTGAAGTTTTTGGTTTAGAAGCAGTTATTGAATTAATATTGACGGTAGAAATGCAGCTAAACTCAGTAGCAGTGAGGAGCTACCTGCCGGCAACGGTGAGGCAGAAGGGGAGAGGCCGGAGCTAAAACCGATCGTTTCAGACAGAGGCTGAAAAGAACTGCTCAGCTATAGGCAGTATGAGTAAAATAATGTGTTTTTTGAACATTAAAACATCTAAACCTATTGTAGGAGAGCCACAAAATACAATTATGAACCTGAAAAGGGGAATAATATGACTCCCTTAAGCATGTTTTTCGCTAGCCAATGTCTACAGGTCCAGGAAATGGTCAAAACAAAAAGGAGCTCTGTGCCTCTGCACTCGATTGCTCTTACTGAACACCTTGACCTGTCTGTGACCTTAAAAGTGTAATCTTGTGGTTTGAAATTGAATTGAGATTATGAAATTTTAATTTAGAGAACTGCAATTGAATTGAGATAACTGAATTTGAATTTAGAGAACTGAATTTGAATGTACATAAAAAGTTGAATTTTTAGTGAGGCTCAAACTCAGTTTCAAAGAATAAATTCAAATTCAAATTTTGCTATTCAGATTCAGTTTTCCAATACAGTTATTCAAGTTTAACAATACAAATTCAAATTATGCATTTCAAATTCAGTTTTTTAATGCAATTATTCAAGTTCTACTGCTGTTTGTATACTATTCACAATCCATTTAAAGGGGAATTTGGCAACTATTTCACCTTAATAAACCCGTTTAGAAATCATTTGGATGGTTAAATGGCCTGTTCCGGTGTTAATGGTGACTTTCCCTGCTCCCCCTAGCGTCTCCAGGCGGAAAACCAACCTTGCAACTTTGGGACTACCGTCCCGTTAAGTTGGAAATAGGAAGTATCGTGAGAAGCGAGAACGAGCGAGAAACACAAATTGCTTTATGGCAATTCCACATAAACGCACACGCCCCCCTCAATACCAGTTAGCCATGCCGGCTATAAGAACAAGCGACGATGAATGTATCACCCACCTTGGTAGACATTGCTCCACACGAAAAAGTTGCCCGGCAACAAATGCACATTAGCAGCGGTAGAAAGGGGGAGGAGGGTGCTGCAAGTGAGTTTTTTTTACGACAGTGTTTTGAAATATACGTCCCAGAGCTGGAGGGGGAGCTCGTTGAGAAAACATGCGACGACAAAAGTGAAAACCAGTGAAGAAATGGCTAGAGTTGCCAAGTTCCCCTTTAAGTACATTATACCATACCGTGGTTGTTCGGTGCAACACCCCCTGCCTACCAAACCTAAATGAAGCTCACTGTGTCATTGGCTTGCCAACATTTTTCAGTGGAAAGACAGTCTAGACAGTCTGCTGTCACAGCTAATCAGCTGCTAACTGGTCCCAGTAGACTAAGCAAAAAAACACAAAGACTCAACACACACACAGACACAAAATGAGATAACCGCAGGCTGACATAACCATTGCCTGTTAAAGAAACCATCACATGACAGAGGCAGAGCAGTACACACGTACATCATGCATTTCAAGATGTGTGTCTGAACTGATTAGAGCGCATAAAAACAGCCAATCATTCAGACATTCAGTGACAGATCCAAAGCAGCACTGAGAGCCCTGGGCTCTGGCTTTAACTCAAGAAAATAGGAAATTTGAGGAGATTTGTGGGGAAAGGGAACAGCAGCAGTGTTGTAACACTTTCCACATTCATGATATTACTACTTTAAAAAACAAAGCAACTAAAAACAGTTTGAATTATTGCAAAATGGTTTGTTTAGAGCAAGACTAGGTCAACAGTCATGCTAGCTGCTCTGTAAGGCTGTATTCCTGTTTAGCTGAATGAACCAATACCAAAAGTACCAAACAAATAATAGATTATAAAGAAATCTCGCATGTTGGGACGCTAGCCTTAACAAATATTAATATAATGGACAAATAATTTTTTACATCTGATCAACACTAAGCCTTGCAACTATAGTGGGAGATGGTATCGTTTGGGTTTTTTCCTGATACCAGTGCTAAAAAGATACTTTTAAAATGGTACAGGTGCCTACACCGATACTTTTTAAAAAAAGTTGATGACATTAAAAAGTATATAACAATATAAGAATGGATTTTTGAACTTGAAATTGAACAATATATTAACCATTAACAGTTTATCGTATACTTAAATATCAATCAATAAAACCATATTTACAGAAATATTATCATATTTGCTAATTTTTGAAAAAAACAAACAAACATGCAGGTCTTGTGAGTAGTGGCATTGAAATACTATTGAAAGCTGGTTGCCCAGCCACTCCATGTGAAAAAAACACAGCAGAGAGAAACTGATTTAACAAAACCTAATTGCAATTTGGGAGTTTCAAGTCAATTCAATTCAATTTAATTCAGTTTTAGTTGTATAGTGCCACTTCATAACAAAAGTTATCTAAGGACACTTTTCAAATAGAGCAGGTCTAGACCGAACTCCTTATAGCATTATTTACAGAGACCCAACAGTTCCCACCATGAGAAAGCACTTGGCGACGGCGGCCAGGAAAAACGTCCTTTTAAGAGGCAGAAAACTTGGACAGACCCCTGCTCTAGGTGGGTGGTCGTCTGCCTTGACCAGTTGGGGTGAGAGAGAGAAAGAGAGAGAGAGAGAGAGAGAGAGAGAGAGAAGGACAGAGAGAGACAGAGACAAAGAGAGAGAGAGAGAAGGACAGAGAGAGACAGAGTCAAAGGTGCACAGCAACAACAGTAGCAACAACCACACTAATAGTAGTGACTGATGATGATGAACATGAAGAAGATGATGACGACGGCGACAACAACGAGGGGGACAATGAGCAGTGATTATAGTAATAATAGGATCTGTTGTAATAATAATAGTAATAAAAATAATAACAATTAAAGCTGCAAGCAGAGTTGGGCGGGACCTCGCACTCCACGCAACTCGGGGCGTGCTGCAGCCGCGTCGCGTGCCGTCGAAACACGTGCGGACCACAACATGAAAATCTGCCGTTAATCAGCTCAAAATCGCCATGCAGCGCTTACTTCCTGTTGCCAGTAGATGGTGCTATCACTATGTCTGAATATTGTCATGTACACGTGTTCAGGGCGGGACTGTTATCAAGCATTTGAAGTGTGGAGCCGGTTGGACAATGTACACTCAAGTTATTGCGAATTCGTGTTTTGTGGCAGTCCATCAAAATTTCCCACCACCCCACAGACACGCCCCCTCACCACAGTCAACACATATCATCAACAATGTGTTTTGCATTTTATAAGTAAATTTAAGCTGGATCTGATCAGGAGTAAAACGTGATACTTCCTGTTACCAGTGTGTGGCGCCATCACTATGTCTGAATATTGTCATGTAGACGTGTTCAGGATGGGACTGTTATCAAACACGTGAAGTTTCATTGAGATTGGATCATGTACGCTGAAGTTATGAGGACGTGTTCAGGGTGGGACTGTACACTGAAGATATGAGTACTATCTGTTTGATGGCAAATCGGTGGACTTCAACACGTCGTCACGGGCACACAGTTAAA